GAATACGGACTAGATTGGGATTAATCCCTTAAACAATATAAAAGATTATGTAATTATTTTCATTGAAATGAATCGCAGTTCAAACATAGTAAATTTGTCTTCAAAATTGAAATTAACGATTCATTTGCATGGAATATTAATTATTAGAATTATTCAATCTGATGTCGGTGATATTTTGATCGCTGAATAATTCTAATAGTTTTCGATCGGACAGTGTAACGCGATGCATTTGATTAAAGTACATTGGTACTTTTTAAAAAAAAAATTACATTATACACAACTTTCGCCGATGATATATGTATTAAACATACAATTACTCGATTCATGTAATCTGTTGTTTGTATGAAGCAGCAATAGACAATAAAATCGACAGATTATAGAAGATTCTATCATTAAACTTAGAGTTAAAAAACTTGGTTCTGTTGTGAAGAATTCGATAGAATTTTCAAACAAAAATATAATTTGAATATGATTTTGTTATCTTATTCACATTAAATAAGTGGCAATTCTTAAAATATTGCTATAGCATACATCGAAAGCAATTATTCGAAAAATAGTGGGTCCATTCAAAATTGTAACTATTGAAACCATAGAAGAAAAAAAAATGGATTAAACAATTATGACTTTATGCAATAGAGGAATTCTAAACTGAATAAAGAAAGTACTATTCATTAGAAAAATTATTAGTCACTTAAAAAAACAACTTGATATGAACATAAAAAAGCCTGTCATTAATAAATTATATAAATATTAGCCTAGAATATTAGAATGTAAGTTTTAATTTTTGTATATAAAAATTCATTTCAACGTGTACCATTGTTCTCCCGCGTGAAATCGCGTTTTTTTTTCTTGACCAAAGTATTCCATTATCAATATCGTATGCTGCCGGACAAACAAACAAATTACATCATCGATGAAAAAGCAATCGAATTTAAATAGACGTCGTTTCGAAACCAACTGTTTGCATTTGAGATTCCCTTTTTGGTAAATTTACGGTTTTCTATACAGCAATACTGTGCTATGTGGATATGTCGTTTCTGTTAGAATGATAATTGACACCCTGACCAAGTGACACTTTTAATGTACGATAGCCAAAGCGTCAATGATCACCGTGATTATTGGTTATCGGTATTTTCTAATACTTACCATCATATCTATTTAATGTTAAGTTACACGTATATTTTTGTTTCGATAAGAGATCAGTAACACATTAATAGTAATTATTACTTGTTTGATACTTATCGATATCCGCTAAGAATATTACTTATTGTTTCCTGGTTAGAACGATACATCCAGAACATCGTTAAATTCAAGTTCGGCGAGAGTTATTTGACGTGTGGTTCTGCACCAACCTCAAACGCTCAAAGTCCCGTTTCCATTAAGATTTTTGTTTACATTTTTGATTTCTGTCGTGCGTAAAATTTGCATTTTTTCTTACCCCCTCTCGAAAATATATCGTAAGAGATTGATGGGTTCGTTCGATCGTTGATTTCGTAATGTATATGTATATATATATATATATATACATATACATATATATATATACGTATATATATGTATATATATATATATATATATATATATATACACACATATATATATATATATATGCATATATAGATATATCTTATATGTACAATGTTATTGTTAAAAGTGCAAATACCCCTCGCCATGGAAGTACTGATCTATGCGGTAATCAAATAGTGTCGTTAATTGTTTCGCGACGTCAGAATCATTGCATCGTAAGAGTAAGTTGAACAGCGATTGCTTTAGAGTCCATTTTCGTTTACAGACTGTTTCCTCAAAAGCCACTATCTACGTTCAGCAGAAGATAGAAAAAAACACAGATTTATATTTGCGCCTATGCTAGTCTACTACGTTCGGTTAATTAAATTTGAATTAATGCTGCCGTTAATCTATTAATTTAAGATAAATTAGATAATTGATAATAAGATATATTTGATAGGACCAAAGAATTGATAAAGAACCGAGGAGAATTATATATACCGTACTTCATATTATAAATGGAACTCTTTTTAACTTATTTAAAGACTGATGATATTGCATTATACTTTTGTACATGAAAATAATAGATTTTTTATTATAATGGACCCTAAGGCTAGCTTGATCAGGGAATAAGAAAATGGCTTGCAAATAACATGGCTTTTGTATCATCAGTGTAAAGAAGCCAATGAATTTGGAAAGTAACAGTTCTGAACAGCAAGGTACTCGAAACAATAGAATGTAAAAAATATCTTATTATCAATATGATTATTAAATCAATTCACTTTCTTCACAGTTCGTTCGCCTACAGCGAAGCAGCTTAATGTTTTTACCTAATAGACTGATTGATACTACATTTTTCGTTGCATATTCACTGTTTTATCTCACTCATATTTGGTTAGCATTAGAGTTACCTTAAAATCAATGCTTACACGTTTACTTCGAATTTACACGAAATTTCTGTTAACAGTAAGTCGAGGAAGAATTAATTAGAAAATAGATACAATTACATTACATTTAAATCCACGTTCCACTAAATTACTTTTAAAGGAATTATTAACAGAATTTGTAAAAGCAGTTTGAAGTTTGAATAATATATACATATATAGAATATACGTTTGTGTCAGGAATCCTTCAGGGCATTAATGATGTGATACAAAAGCAAAAGTGCATTAAACCCAAGAAGAAATGTGACAATGATTGTATTAAAAAAAAAACGTACAGAAAAAAACAAAGTCGAATATAACGAAGGTGTATAGAAATCATGTATCAAGTAAAACGTACAGAGTCTTTTATAATGGAGAAATCAGAAAGTGTTTTGTTCATTTTGTAATCCGTGGCTCTTTGCGAGACATATGCAGTTAAAGTTTCAAAGCTTGTCTCTTAACGCAGATTTTCTGTTAATGGTATGTAACACATTAAAGAAATCTATTATATATTTTACATGAAAAATTAAATGCCAAAATGAGGAAAACATTTTTTGATCTTAATTATTATAAATAACTGGTAAGTTTTACCTGTTACATAATTTCGAAACTCCTTATATACCGGATCATTTATTATACGAGAACGCAACATGGCATCACAATGATTTCAATGAACTTAAAAACGTATGAGCTTGTTACAAGTTATGCGTAAAGTTACTGTAAAGATAATACACTGTGTATATACAATTACGAATAATAGAAGACACTCGCGTAACATACAAGAAAATATGAATACAATCAAACTATGTACAACGTTAATAAAGTTTCTCTTAACCTTAGATTAGACGAATCATTTATACCGTACGACTGTTTCAACAGAAATGTGTTCTCCTTTATCACCCACATTCGTTCATGCTCACGCAGTATGGATTTTCACGTCGAAAGAAATTCAAAGTTCATCATCGCACTTATACCCTTTCACGTATGCATTATCGGCGCAACAATATGCTTCGTTAAAAATTTTGTAACTAAGATTGATTCTTTTTTGCGTTTTTCCATTGTTTGCCACTGATATTAACGGAGTGCATCTATATTAATCACAATTTCATCGGCTGTTATATTCCGGTGACTTCGATATTGAAAGCTACGTTACGTATGTATATTTGGTGCATGTCCTGAAAATTGACAACTGTTTATCATATTTATATGTAATAGCAAACTTCTATCTACGTTTTGACACTAATCATGGGCTGTTGTTTTGCCTTTATCCACGGTGTTTAAGTATTGGTAACTATTTTAATAAACTGTGTATGCTTTATAGACCGACACTAATTATCAACTGGTTAGGCCTTTCCAACGTGAATAATAAATCCGTACGACCGTTATTATCGTACGTGAAACGCGTTAACATGCAGATGACAGAATTTTTTAAATTCTCGCAAGCCCGATTATCATAGTTCTGCCGTCGACGAATGTTGTATACAAGACATTTATTACTAAAAAACCAGAGACCGGAGAAATATTAATTAATAGGCAGATATTCATTCATCCTATAATATGAGGCACACAGACAGCCATTATCATTACAGCACTGTCATTTCTCTTAGAAGATTTAAAACTTGATGCACTCTATTCAGTTCTGATAAATTTAACGAAGGGGAGTAAATTCTTTTTCCTCATTGACAATAAATCAATTCTGATCAGATTCTTTCACTCTAACGGAATGTATCGTGAAAGAAAGTAAGATTCTCACTTTTATCATCGACAGCTATAAATGTAGCGTTGCGGTATTAAAAGATATCAAAGATCTTCATAATCGCGATAAAATATAATAGAAGACGATGCTTAAAACTTCAATTCAATTTTTTCGATACGATCTTGGTTTTTTTCATACTTAATTTACCTACACTTCTAGGTAACCATTCGACTTAAAGCTGAAAGCTTGGATACCTATTAACAAGTTCCCAACAAAAAGTGTTCTCTATATAATCATATACAATAGTATATGTAACAGTTACGCTCAGTCGTGCCATGTGCTCGGAAAAGCGCGTCGACCGGGCGCTAATCTGAAGCCACAATGGCTCTACATTAATTAACGTAATTGGTGTTTCTTCCTTGCACAGTCAACAGTTAACTGTTGACGTTCAAAAAGTTCTTCTACCTACAATAAAGCTATATAATGGACGTTTATATATATATCTAAATAAGTTAAAAAAAGAAGGACATCTACTATTTTTTACAATTCGCCGATTAAAAGCAAATAAATAAATAGTTCTCATATGGATATACATATAGAATAGTTAAAGTTAGGGTTCTTTGCCCTTTGTGCTATGTTAAGCATCATTACAGCTGCATCTTTTTAAGTAAATATTGCGTAGGTCCATAGCAAATATGATTTTCCATACTACCTTATGGCAAAAGGAAAAAATCTACAAAAATGCATTTGAGACATCATTGGATCTATCTATAATAATTCATTTAGAGTCTCCCTAACCTCACAATTTTCGACGTTTCGATTCAATCGACATCCGTACCATACGATTATATTAAATAAACCGAATACATCAAGTCTCAATTTAATCTAAATGTGTGCTCTTAGCTCTTGTTTTCCTTCTCCAATTATGGACTGAATATTAAAACCCCCATAAAGTAAACTACAACCTCACAGAGGCTGTTGAAACGGGATAGATCTATATAGCTAACCCTTTCACCGCCTTCGGAGTGTTGTATAATTTATAATTTTCGTATGGTTTTTCAATTAAGTATTTAACTAATTACTATAAATATAAACATTCTAATTCATTGGTTCAGCCTTTCGATTTCGAGACGCAGGCAGTGAAAGGGTTAGATATATTCTAGTTCTGCGACTGAGCTTTTTTACCACCGCGTGGTTTAATGCTCTCTGAAATCTGCCACATTGCCTCTTCACAGAGGAAATCGCTGAAATTGTTGAAGAATGTTATAATACGTTCGTGTTTTTTGAACGAGTATGTCCTGTAACAAATAATTCCCAAATATACGAATTGTTACTATTTCAACAATTTAAAATCTTTGGTTCAATGAATTCAGAGTGAAACATTTACTAGTTAGTTCCGTTGGATTTGAATCGCTTTTCAGAAATAAAATAATGTAAATATTTGAAGAAATGATAATTAATTAGGAGGAATTATTAAGGAGAGTTAGTTCAGCTGTACACAAGTAATGTATGCATACATATTTCTATGTATCATGTTAATTACTTGAGAAACATGCATACGAAAATCTACAGGCGAGTTTCTAAATACAGAAGAAGAATGCTTACCCTTTTTTGAACCTTTTCATATTCTCGACGATATTGAACTGCTGCCATCTTTTTGAAAAGTTTATAGTTCCGTCTGGCAATAAATCACTGTTTCCAATATGTACGAATGTAAGATCTTGTAACACGAGACCACTGAAAAGAAATATTACATTTCTTTTAATGACCTTCTAAGAATGTTATATTTAAGTTAAAATAAAAATGATTCGTACATGTACGGAATACACGGCGGTTGCGTTTCAGCCAGAGCTTGTCTGTAGGCTCTAAAACTGCTAGAACTATCGATAAGAGCACAATATTCCTTTAAACCTTCAGTAATATGCTTCTGCCACTCGAGCCTTCTAATAGGCGCGCTATCCAGTGCAGAAAGCAATGCTAAATAGCTATTAAAGTTATTTATCTTTCTAAGGTGCTTCATTATTTTAATAAATTTAACCACGTATTTCTCTCTATCCTTCGCTTCATTTTCTAACCGATGCTCCAATATCCTCGATCTGGCCCAGTACGACATTTTGTTGAAGTGTTCTGTGAACCTGGTCAGATTCGGACTTCGTTCCTCATTCTGTTCCTGGGCCCAAATCAACACTTCTGGTATTTCGATTTTCATAAATAGATCCGCGTCCAACAGCGTCATTTGTTCAGCGATTTGCTCGCTCTTAAAATCGAGAAGAGAAGCTTGCTTCGTTGTCACGCTCAGCGACGAAAGTATTGGTTGCGTTGCTTGTAACTGTTTCGCTTGATGCTTTTCCAATATTTTAACTCTTAGAGCCTTCGCCATGGTCAAATCACCGCTACATACTAATTGTTGTACGAATTCCATTAAGGTTTGTAGGAGAGTATCATCGAGATCCGACATACTAAAAGAGGGCAACATTTTTATTAAGAATCACTTGAAATGTGACTAATATCAAGTTGACTTACGTCAAATCACTGACAACTCGAACTAATAACGAAAACGCCTCTCGCGCTGCTCTTTGCTTAATCACGTCAGCGGAGCAGGAAAACCGTTGATGTCGTCTGTGTAATTTCTGAATCAATTCGAGTGGCTGCATGAAAGTTCTATATGTTGTTAAGAACGCTTCTTGGTACAGAAAGTCTGTAAAAAGAGCATATGTTTACAAATATTAGTTTCAATTTGACAATCGACACATAGTGACACAGTCGCTGCAACTTTTTGAGAGTAATGTGTCTTGGACTACTATTAACTCATACTATATAACTTTCAAGTAAATCTGAGAGAATAGTACACTGACCTGACTCTTTTTCATCTAGGAAGCATGAAAAGTGTAATGAATCGCATTCATTAATAAACATGTATTAACGATAGAATTTTTGAAACGATGATTGGATACTTACCATGCTTATTAGCTTTGGTTGCATGAATCAATAGTGCATCTGGATGGCCTCCCCGTATATCTGGTCCTTCTTCATCAGGCTTTTTGAAGACTAAATATTTGCCGATGTCCAATTCATCCAGAATGCTGTCATCTTGATCAACATCTCTCAATTCTAGAGTGTTCTCATCAACTGATATTGATGACAGAGCATTACTCGCAGGCCTTGAAGGTGGTAATATTGTATCTAAGGTAACATTATTCTGAAAGACAAAATATTTACAGCCAGTTAGTAAGCAGATCATACAAATTTAAGAAATATGTTAAAAACTTATATGATTTTTACCAATTTCACTGGAGTCGAAGGTGTGAGGTCCTTCTTCTCGTGAATACAAATTGATTCTTCCGATTTCACGGGTGTTGAAGTTACCACTGGATCTATTGTATTTATACTTTGCATGCTGATGGTCGGTTTTGGTGAAATAGGTGGGGGTGTTGCGTTTGATTTAATAGAACGGGATCTCTTTGGTGGCAATGCTGGTGGGAGACTAGAATTATTTGTTACTTCGGCTACCGGCGGCGTCATAGTTATGGAGGTACTGAAAGAAAAACGAAAGATATTATTCCGTTTTTCGTAATAATACGAGTACAGTATCGCAACAGGTGTACGCGTATACATTTAACCACATACTTTGATCTGTCGTGTAACGTAGTCATGGTATGCGCCATGAAAGAACATGATTGCGTTGTGGTAAGTGCCATTTCGTGTTGTTGCCATTCCGCTTGCATCGAATTATAAGCTGCCACTGAATGGCGAGTCCCAAGACCAGAGATGAAGTCATTGTTGTTATGGGAACAGTTCCCAAACATCTCCATGTATGCCATGACTGAAATAGATACAATCAGGATTATATAACTCCATAATGCATTAAATTAATCATAGCGTAATAACATAAAGATAAATAAAACTGTGATTCCATGATATATAATATATATAAGAGATACAAGCATGATTCATGTTACAAAAAGTATTAAAGCGCAGGTGAATGAAATACGGAGAAACACTGATGCACAAGCATATATTCTGATATATTCTTGTAAAAATCTGAGCACGTGATATTTGCAAGTAACTTACTCGATTGAGAGTGAAATCGTTTAAATAACATTTTTGTATAGATGGTGAGTTACGTTTGCCAGGATCGAGCACTTTTTTAATTACACTATCACAGTAGTACAGTCAGGTGTGATTTCAATTGTAATAATATTATGTTTAAGAATCGTTCTGTTTCGTTGATTCCTCGCACATAATCGTGAGGATGGAAACTGAACTCTCCGGAGCCGTTTCAGTTGAAGAAGCATACGTGTTAACTGACTATTAGCCGGAAAAGGTCAAGTTAATTAGTGAAACAATGTCGACGCCCACGTAAGTAGTTTAAGATTAGTTTCTATTGTTAATGAATTTTAGAACTCGCAGCAAAATGTTTACGAAAAAAGTATAAAGATGTGCAATAATGTGCATTAAACACGAATGATTAAATAATTTGTATAAGACTTGTAAGTGTACTTATAAGGCATTTCACGTGAAACGCAATATGAAACATGTGTTTCTAAACTTTCGTGTTAATACAATATTAATATTACTGTCCGTTTTTAATGTCACATTAATTAATATTTAAGCAACGAGAAAGCTAAAGATACGAATAAAATATCCAAGCTGAGTATTAAATGAAATTATGTATTAAATCATTTTCATAAAATGTGAGATTAAACGGAAGAAGATTAAACATGCCGCAAAAAAGCTAGGAGCTTAAAATCGTGTATTAATGCGTGAAACGAAGGATTCCAACTTAGCGTGAAAGTGTTTGCTGTGGGATAGCTGATTTGTGTGGGCAGGATCCCACTTACCAGAATATGCCACTGATTGGAACACTGGGGGATACAAAATATTTCATCAGTTTGAACCTACTACCAGGTAGAGATTTGTTTGGAACATCTACTCTAAAATATAATCTAGGCAATTTCTAGAACAAATTTTATCCGCTAACTCTTTAGTACGTTTTCAACCGAATTGATTTTCACTATAGGCCATTATTATTTCTACAATCTATATAGGACAGTAATAAAGCACGGATAACGTGGATTCAAATACTAGTGAATTATTGCTTTATTACTGTCTTCATTATTGTTCATGGTTCAACTTACTGTGCCTCTTTTTAAGTGGAAGCGGCGGGGGTTTACTGGCGTCCGGACTGTCGCCGTTACTGGTATGTAAACTACAGGTTGATAAATGCTCGTTCTCAGGTACATTGTCGTACTGCGATGGTTGACGCTCTTTTCTACGTTTGGAACGTTTCTCCGGCAAAGCCGGCGGCGCGCCGTTTGTGTCTGATGCAGAAATCGATTCTATTTCCTATATAATATAAGAAATCTATATAAATATGAAATGAATGATTCACTTCTGCAAATATTTCCACATGGATGCGAATCAAAGAGAATGTGCATACATATAACGTATTAATCACTCAAAAAATAATGTATAAAAATAATAAATGAAAAATAAGCCAAACCAAAGTATTAATAAATGAAAGCTTGATATACAAATGTACTTCTAGCTACAAATAACGTTTTCCAAAACTCACTATAAAATACTAGTTTGCAGATTTTGTGATATTACTTTGTATGACCATGTATTTATGTTTTGGGTCAAAAGAAAATACAAACACAAACATGCAACACCCACATTTACCAGTTTTTCCAACATGGTAGGATCCCCGCTTCCAGATATATTTGTTGTGCTAATAGTACTTTTGGAACTAGTCATTGTCTTCTGGGTGAATATGGACCCGTTACTGTCAGAAGACATCTTGGTCTGGGAAAACGATTGCTGTTGCGAATTGAACTGGGAATTATAACTGATGCTACTCTGCTGGGACGAACGTTTGGATGTGACGCTGGATGCGGTGTAACTTTGAGATGAACTTCGTTGTGAGTGCATGGATACGAAACCGGACTCTTGCGTTTGAGTTGACAACCGTTCCATTTTGCCCTCTATACCTGAAACACAATTACCTTACCTTACCTCGCATAACGTGTTTACAAAATATGTTCGGAATATTCGATTAGGAACCATTAAATATGAAATTCAGAAATTGTAGAAAAAAAGTTATTTTTCTTACGAAAAAATGTTTTCACGGTTTCCCAGTTCCAACCAGTGGACATGATGAATTTTTCGTTTTTACGAAATTTTGTATTTTTCTGGTAGCTTTCGAAAAAGAACTCTAACCGATTGCACCGACTTCGGTGAAGATCTATACGATACTGTTTATACACGCAGTCGGAAGGTCTGACGCCTACGCTACCTGCTCCACCTCGCTATTTGAGGAGTTCTTGCGTAATTTTAGCTCTTACATTTTTCTTTACATTTCTAAATGTGCAACGTCACACGTTCCCGTTAGCTGGCATTGATATCGAATGAAAATGAATTTTACAACCACGTACCGGTAAATGGATTAAGCATTTCTTGGGGAGTTTGTTGACCCAACAACATGGTACTTGGTATACTTGTCTCAGAACCGTCCCAGCAACTACAGTTTGAAGTACCATTAACTTGCATGCCTGTAAAAATGACAAAATATAAATGAGTATTAGTTTAATTAAATTATAATTAATAGTATAATTTTTTAATAATATTACACCACATAATTTTTAGATTTTTCATCATAATTATTTTAACGAGGATTATCTGCGTTATAAAGACTGAAAGTAGTGTAGTCTGTACTCTAAGACGTTCCCAGTAAGACTAGACTGATGATTAAGTCAAACTCGGTTCAGAATTATTTTGCTGACTAAGCAGTGTGTGCACAGTGTTCTCCTGGACACACATGGAAGTATACCTGTAGAATTCGTTTGTGACCATCTTGGGATGATTTAGTTCTACTCATTAGAGAACGTTCAGGGATATTGTAAACCGAGCAATATTAATAGGAAGCACATTCTACAAACGAAATTGTATAAAATGTATGAAAAATTGATTTCCTTCCTTACTTACTCACTTAATTTTCAAATAGCAGCATTCTGATTTTGTTACATAAATTGAATTACTTAATAATTTTATACAGAAACTATAACCTACTCAACACTGATTGGCTTTCTAGTTTCTGTATGTATTTATCATTTAGAATAATTGTTACTTGTACATCATAAGTAAGAAAAGAATTATTCTTATAAAATCAACCTGCACGGTAGACATGTTCACTAATGAAATACTTTATAACGTTTCATAATCTATTCAACACAAAATCAATCACCTTGAATAGTAGCCATCAGGCTGAGATCCATACTGTCGTTCAGAGACTCGTCGTTTGGTCCCATGATCGCCCTAATTTCATCCTCGTCGCGGGAATGATTCAGAGCTGAATCCAAACTTCCAGCGGACGCGCTTAAAAGTGACGACGAATCCTCTGGAGACCGACTTCGGAGGGAGACCCTATCAAGACTAGATGCTAAAAGACCTTCGGATTCGTCCAACAGTTGCTGAGCCCGCGTTCTTCGCTTTGGGGGCAATGGTGGCGGTGTCCCGGAAGAACTATTTTCCTCCGACAGACAGACGTTAGTTCTGAAATATCGACATCGATTTTGATCTTTTGTCAAGAATTTGAATGCTACATCTCTACAATAACAGGTGCTCGTTATCAGTGTGGGGCATTAGATAATTTTTGTTTACTACTGTACTATAGTAGTTCACTACTAACTACTAAATTAGCGAACACGTCGTTACACATACTGTGTAGCGAGTAGCCAGACAGTCACGTTAGTTAAATACATTCAGCTGCATTCGTGCTCAACGAGGTTTTTATCTTCATTTGGTTATTTTCATTTATTTCTACGTATTAGCGGTTTATTAGGTTAAAACTAGAACAGTCTTTTGTTTCAATCTTTCCTGAACCCCTTGCCTTACAACATCGAGTTAGACTCGTGGTGACAATATCAAAATGGATTCGACAAACAGAAATATTATTCATTTTCTTTGAGTCAAAGTGAAATACTACTTTGCTGATATTAATATTTAACTTTTAGAGCAAATGTACAATTGCGATAAGTACACGACTTCCTTTTGTTTCTGGGGAATTATTGATGATTAAGTAATTCTGGAGACTGCAAACATCAAGAAAATCATAGGGCAAGGGGTTAAGGCTTGGTTCCTTGTATTTCATGCATGTTCATGCAGAAACGACTGTACGACCGTGCGACGATTAATTTAATTGTCCATCATCATGAGTGAACATTAATCAATTAACTTATTAATTCGCAACGAGAACTACCTAACAAGCATGTTAATTCGCAAACAGCGGAGACTCGCTACTTGGATCGAAGTTTGCCCCACACTGTTACGTCACTACGAGAAGCTTAGGGAACTACCTCTCGGGGAGCGGTGGTTTTGGGGGCGGACTAGAATCCCTTAAAATCGACTCGGAACTATGCGAACTACGGACCAGACTAGTAGTCGCAGCGGTCTGCTCTAAAATCTGCCGTTCCCTCGGGGTTAGCGGAATATCGGGTAAGGAATTTCTTTGTGGCGTCAATTCCGACCCATAACCCGACGTTCTGAAACGATTCCAATGTTTGTCAAATTTTCATTGGCACATGACGACACAAAAAAATGTCAACAAAAAAAACTGGCGTTGTCCGTCTCTAGGACGTTCAAGGGTCGGAGGCCTTTGGAGAAACCGGCGTATACCTGTTACTGGTGGTGACGGCCGCGGGTTTCTGTCTGTTCGTGATTTTTTCGTTCGCAAGGCCAACCAAATTTTTCACGGCATCTTCGACTAATCCTATGATGTGCGTCACGTTCTCAGTGTCCAACGCTGATGACTGATCGCCGTGCAGCAGCACATCGTCGCAGAGCTTTAACAGTTGCGCTAGCGCCTGATACACTTGGTTTGTCGCTGAACCCAGAGTGGAGCTATAACGAGAACAGAATGTTAATAGGATACTCTAACAGTAAACACACTTTACACCGTTAATTTTAAGTACCTATTAATTAAGTTCTAGTGATAATTTAGAGGTTGAAGAATTATTTCGTCAAACGTCGATCCCGAATAATACTTCTACAATATTAGTCATAAGGAAGTACAGATCTGCCAATTGTTGGGTTAATTATTAACAAGTGATTTTTCGTCTTTTATCACAAATAAAAGTAATAAGTACACTTCATCGCTTTATTTAATTAAATTTCGTCTACTATCCTTAATTCTTGATTTGACGAACCTGGGATACTCGAGACCCGGACTTTAAGCCTACATTAAAACACACGCTAAAACTTTCAATGATATGATAACACGAGATTTCAGAGATGAATATGATTCAGAACTGATCCAACTCCGCCTTCCACGAGTTCATCTTCCGAGGATTAATTCACCCCTGACTGTTCTATAATCCCACTTTCATCTTAAACGAATAACTAACTCAAATGTTCTTCACTCAACAATCAGTCGTCAGAAACTTCCGCGTGGCAACTCAGTGGAGCGCATCCAACCGAGTTGCTAGACGCAGCAGAGACCACGAAGCAGCACAATAATGTCAAGACGCGTCTCACGGTGTCCCGTTTCGTCGAACGGAACGACAGATGTTCCCGCAGGGGACTATGGTCCGTTCAACGAGAGACGAGTCAGCAAAAATAACCAAAACATTTGCGTGCTAAGCCCAGCTACTGGCTGGCAACTGTCTGTCCCTGTCCCACTTAAATGGACATCATCTCCCTTTGTTTTTAGCAGAACAGGGGTGGCCAGTTCTTCGATAATATGAGCCACATATAATATTTTTCATACATTTTTGAATTTTCAAAAGCCACAGAAATAGGGGAAGGCCGCCGAATTTTGACATCGCCTAGGTTGGATCACTATTGTAACTTGCCACGTGTTGCTTATATACTAAGTTAATGCAGTCACCAATATCATATTCATATGTATTGTCTATCATACGGTAGAAATTGGTTAGACACGATAAGTTACATTAGTGGTTCAATCTTTCGATTATCGTCAGGCTTGTTCTACACGATTATTGTCCAGACGTTATCCCCACCACTAGAGGGGGAAGGCCGTTGAACCTGTCAAGCGCATACTTTGATGCCCCTCCGCTTTTGTTTACATCTGCAAAAAACGAATTTACGAGGGTCTGACGCATTTCCCCCTATATGATTATTGTCCCGGCGCGAACCCGAGTTTGGGACGATAATCGAGAGGAGTTTGTAGTACGTAAATCCGGAGCCCCCCTATAATATAACTAGTTTAGGAAAAATGGCAAGAAAACCCAATATTGTCTTGGGAGTGGTACAGAGTATCTTTGGTAGCTGCAGTTTACCCACTATTGGTTTGTCGTTACCGACTTGACTCGCGTTAGATGAGGTTATAGTTTACCTGTTCTCGTAGAGTAGATAGGACTTGAGCACGGTGTGTATCGTGGTGACGGTGTCGAGTACGATGGTGCCATTACCCGGCAGCATCTCGAGCTTCTTCTTCGACACGACGTCCCTGAAGTGGAGCAGTGCCAGCTGCACCTGTCGCACGTGGATGTGCAGATCACGCAGGGGATTCTTCTCGAGGGTGGCCGTCGTGGTCTCGGTGCAGCCTGGCGCGCTTTTGTCACGGGGCGTCCGTGGGGAGGAGGGGGAGGCGGCACGCGTCGCGGCACCGCTGCCCCCGCCACCACCGCCACCGCTGCCGGGAGAACGCATCTGCGAGAGCTTCTCCAGGAAGTCCTCCTTGAAGGAGCGCGCACGACGCGCAAGTTTACCGCCGCGCGCCTTCCCGCCGGGCCGCTCCTCGACTTCTGGAATAAGCGACGTCGGTCGTCTCATTAGTTAAAGGGAAATGTGTCGGATCACCGTGTTAGGATGGAAACATCAAATTTGTAATTGTATTAATGCTTGGCTGGAAAAAAGTAACCCCAAAAATTAGGGGATTTTCCGCCCGTTTTTGGTCGCACGATTGTTGAACTGTATTCTCTGCCAAATGATACCTTATGATGAGACATCAATCACAAGTAAAGTAAGAGGGGACTTTACGCTCGTATTTGGTCCCATAATTTCGGAACTGAATTTTATGACAAATGATACCTTATGATGAGACATCAATCACAACAAAGAGTGACTCCAGAAATGAGATTTTGCGCTCGTTTTTAGTCCCATAGTTTTGAAACTGTATTTTCTGCCAAATGATACCTTATGGATGAGGCATCAATCACGACAAAGAGTGACCCCAGAAATGAGGAGATTTTGCGCTCGTTTTTAGTACCACAATTTTTTAACTGTATTTTCTGCCAAATGATACCTTATGGATGAGGCATCAATCACAACAAAAAGTGACTCCAGAAATGAGCAGATTTTGCGCTTGCTTTTGGTCCCACGATTTCGGAACTGAATTTTGTGACAAATGATATGATGAATTTTTCAAGTTGAGTCGGCAATTAGTTTCTGAGATATGGGAGGTGAAAGAAGTAGAAATTCATTAATGCGCCTGTCAATAGTCAATACGTTTCGATGTACGGATTTTTATTTCAGTCCGATAATTTAAAAAATGCTTACAACGAATTTGAACTTTCATCATTCACAATGGCCGATTCAGACACAGACAAGTCAAAATCAGACTTTCTCTTTTAAAGCCCCATTATTTTGTGAATTTTTTTTGGTACCTACATTATTTATTCTAAGTCGATCGATAACCACATTTGTGGAGAATATTGTTTCTTTCGACTTAGCAATTTTGTTTTGCAAAAATCTTCATACCCATCTAAGAATTGAGTATCTTTTACGTATCTGTATATCTGCGTTTATTCGCATCTTTCAGCATCTATTCTGTTTTAGCATTTATTTAGCATCTATCGCAAAATGCTAAAAATACGTGTCTCTAAATATCACCACATTTCCAATTCAAATGCTTACTGTACACGGAATCGACCAAAAAGAAACTACACAAAGGTTTTGCTGTATTTCTGGTGTACAACATTTCGTTACAAGAGTAGTGTTACCCCCCACGAGCTTTCGTGGATTTATTTCACTCACAGGCCGAGCCAGCTAATCGTAACTTAAGACACGATTTCGGATACGGGTTCGCTGCACCGGGTGCAATAAACGGTGCAACGGTCTCGGTTGCAACCGATAACGGGAAGAAATACGAACTTCCCTTGGTCATTGTTCCGAACGAGTTTACTTCCGAGGAACACGCCAATCGCACACGTGCTGCACACATCGACTGGCGCCGATGCACTTTCCTTTCTTGTTTTTTTTTTCTCCCCCTTTATTACGTTCGGTTAATATCGGACGCACGTTTAAAATTAAAAGTCCAATGGTCGCACCGGTGGCGCGGGAAGTGCGATAAGTACTGCGCTCGTAACTTCTCCTTTATCATTATATCCAGCCGGTAAACCGTAAGTTCGAGCGTTTTCTTCCGGTTTATTTGTGTTCAGTGTAGCGAACGCGTGACAGTTAAATAGCGTTTTCTTGATGATACTTTTGCTGAATTTATGTACTTATTTTCTTGCTTCGGACGAACCTCTGATTTGACAAATTGTAAGCCGGTATAATGTTTTAGTTTAACGCGTTCGCTGACATGGCGTCGACAGTGTATCGACGGATGACTTTGTCGTGTCAATGGGTTGCGACATCAGAGTTGAACATTGAATATAATTAAAATAACGAATGTTGAATAATTGAACGCGGAGACCGGCGTGTGTGGATGAGAATACAAATCGATGAAGTATGACCCATTCTTCATAATGTTTTGGTGGCGGCGAACGTGTTAATAAATAAAGATATTAACACGAACGTGTTACTTAAAAAATCTTGCGAATTCTTGTAACTACTTTGGACACTAAAGCTAAAGTATTTGGGACCGCTTGCAATACCTGTTTCTTGTGAGGGATCATTGTAAAAAATACAAGTTCTAATAACGAAACGTTGTTATCGGGCTGCTGATGTTTATGCATTTATCATCTACACGATTGTTCAAAACTCTAAAACAGTAAAGTTAAACTTTCAATAAAGTTTACCGAGATTTTTCTTCCCTGTTGAATCTTGTAGGAGCTTTAATGTGGCTATTAAATTTCTATTTGACTCCAATCTTCGTAAAGTATTCCACATAAATCAGTGTTTTTGCATAAACATCTGCACTTTAGTTATTATAAACGAGTATTTCGCTAAATTCGCTAAATTATTATTTTATAAATTATCACCAGAAAATAATTAAACTGAAGACACTACAAGATCCCCTCATATGCAACAGTTTAGTGTATTGCACATCATTTACACGAATCGTTCATCAACGCGTATAAAATCAATTTCACCAACCAACGATGCAAATTATATAGAATGTCCATGTGTCGGTGTTCAGATCCCGTTCAATATTAAGTGTAAATAAATTTTACATCTGGTTGGAATTGATTGCTCGTGAACAAAAGCTAAAAAGCATTCGTCAAAATTCGATACTGCGCACATTTCAAGCATGGTCGCCCGAAAAACGGTATTTAACGACTACGAACGCGAGATCGATACGGTGATATCTGTTATAAATGCCGGGAACGGCCGATTAATGAGGCTTTTCTGGTAACGTCGAAACCGAAAAATACGTCGACGTGTAATGGTCACGCGCCATACGAATAACCAGCATCCATTTAATTCACCGGCCCCCGTCAGGCCATTGCGAATTTCGGGCCGTGGCGCCGCGAAAAATCGGATAATAAAATCGGGGCGGAAAACTGATCCTTTCGTCGGTCGAACGAAACAGACGAGCGCTGGGTACGGCAAACAATGCGAGTAAATATTGATACTAAAAACTGCCGCTGGTCCGATGGTTTTAATAATTTCGGGGATTCGGCGGGCGCATTTGTCGGCGGGGCTTGAAAGGATGTTTTTTTCTCGATTTTTTGTTCAGTGCCGAACTTGCGGGACGATTCTTCGACAAACATTGAACAGTAACAGTCGAGACTTCGATACTTTCAGAGAGATTAAAAATGAAAATAAAAGTCACGCTTTTTGGACATTCGGATTTTTTTTTCGGATTATAGATCATAGATAATTTTGGATAATAGATTATTCGGAAAGTTCGTGCCATTTAACCCTTTCGTTCCCAATGTAGCCATATAGGTAGGTATTTTTAATTATAAAAAAAATTGGACTACATATTATGTATTTTTTCATATCTGTGACGATATAATAGATAGCGCATGACACAAATTTTAATATGCATTTAAAAGTTTGTTGGTACAATATGACATTACTGTCCTTTGTTTCTTTCATTTGTTGGATTTCAGGAGGCGAGCATTATTAAAAATACAATAAAAACTTAGAAAACTCTGATTTGTGTCAAATATTTCAAGAGGGTTTACACATTATGTACATTTTTATGTGAAACCTTTATAGTGAACATTTTTCAAGTTCAGAACATCTATCGAACGAGAGTTTATCATACATTCCCAATTAATAATGGCACGGTGAGTTGATGTTATCGAACATTTCGTGTAAAGCCTGATCCTTTGTCGAGGGCCCATACACTGGAGTCTCGACAGCAGCCGGGGTCCGGCATTGAAATATTTTTCGCTTCTCCCCGTGTCTCGTGTGCTTCGACGTTGAAATATCCTCTCCTCCACCTATGTGAGTTTCATAATGCTTGAATCGCAACGTTGGCAAACGATGTTAAACGCCGGCGAATCGTGCCTGGTTTCCATGCCATTTTTCCTCTGGCACACACACACGTCGATTACAATAATGGATTTACGATCGGTGTAATCTGGATGTATGAATTTTCATCGGGTTCGCGGGAATCGACGATGTTCGAGCGAAACTGACTGAGCGGGGAATTCGATACTATTTTTTTTCCTGCTTTGAATCGAAACCGATACGATTGTGTATGATTCTTTCGGGATTCCGTGTGTACACAATCGAATTGGAATCTGCTTGTAGGCTTTCCTTTGTTGCGGAAAATACGGTACGGCTGGAAATATTGAAAAGAAAAGAGAATTTGGCTATTGTTAGGTAGAGATGGAAATATTTATTATTTTATAATGATTGAAATATTTACAATTTTTGTTGTAAGCAAGATTGGTATGGTCAAGGATTTAGCTACGAATGTACTAACAAGTGAAAAATGTCTTACACATTATAGATCTATAAGTATTTAGTCTTACACGTGTAATTTGTAATCACAAGAAACTAGTTCATAAATGAATTTGTAATTTGTCTTACACAGTACACAGATCTACTAATTGTATTAAAAAGTGACATTTGCAGTGAAATGTTGATCGAATTTTATTTTTTCGATTTTACAGAAAAGTTAATGGTATTGTCCAAACTGACGTTATCCATTTATTCGTGGAATCTTAATCGCCTTTTTAATGATTTTTATGATATCAAAAATTAGTAAATGGTTATAACTTAAAGTTAATTCGTTATTTTAGTTTGTATTCTAATAAACATAACTTCCATGTTGCGATGATATATTGCCATTGCAGAGCCAGTGGAATGCAAATGGTTACTAAAACGTTCCAATTATAAAATGATCAAATTTCAATATTCAGTGCGTTTAGCAAACCGTTGGTGAAATACGTTCAACAATAACAAATCCACCATAAATAGAACAATAATTCCAATGTGATTCCAAACTTTCGGTCACCAGTGTACAGTACATATAAGGAACCCCTTCTAAAGCCTCCGTCGAACCACTTCCAAACTCCCCCTCTCACCTACAACCCCCTGATCGCAAGGCCTCCCCCCGCCCTCCTTCTCGCAGACTGTACGATAATACAAACCTGATGTCTGTTAATTAACAGTCGTCAGG